CAACCTACCAAGTAATGACACTGGTTTTTCACAATTACAGAGGAAAGTGAGTGATACTTCTTCACTGCCACGTGAATAATATTAAAGAGACAAGGGTTAGCAGGCGTGTCCACAATGGAAAGCAAAAGACTATCTTTGGCACCAGCGGGCATGGGTGACATCTTTAGCATAGTACACCTGGCTACACTCCACCCCTCGCTTCCTGACTGGGAGCCTGGATCCAACGCTGACCTCGCAGCCCAGCCCCTGCCTGGCGCTCGGCTCCTCTCCTCATGCAAGTGAGCTGCCACCAGAATGCGGAATTCTCCTCCGCTCTTCCAGAGAGACAGCATGCGACCGGGAAGTAAGTGTCATTTGAGGGCTGAGGATTAGAAAGCAGGCCTGTCTCAGCTGTAAACTGCAATCCTCCAACAGAGCAACAGCTTCCTCTGCCACCCTGTCTTCCTTCATCTCTAATTTTTAGCTCAAAATGCAAGCTATTACATGTTTACAGGGCTGACTGGCCCAGATCTTCAGATTTACTGTTCCTGGGGAATCAGAAGCCAACATGTGTTACCTGTAGACCACTCTTTCCCAAAAAAGGGAGACGGGAGGAGGGGGGCCACGACTCTGAATCCCGAGAGTGAGTGGTCAGTTACACAGCTGGGTACAGTGTTTTGTTTTCACAGGAAATAAAGTTCACCAGTGAATAACAGCTTTCCCCATCCCATTAATGAATACATCATTAAAAATCTGACAACATTAAAATACCATCAAACTTTATAGTGATCAGCACTACAGATTGTGATCCCAAGAGAAATTTTGCCTAATCTAAGGACAATATGCTAAACAAAATACGCCAGGCATAGTACTCTGGTTCATTCAGCCATATCGATTTCCTGGTTTTGATAATGTCTCACAGTCATATAAGAGAGAGAAATGGAGAGAAACTGCGTGATGGGTGCAGATGACCTCTGTGTACTATCTTTACATTATGTGCATTTATACCTAATTCAGAATGAATGTTTAAGAAAGGCAAGACATGACAAAAGCTCACGTTGTATATTCTATGAAGAGCTTATCTATGGTGACAGAGTAGAAAAATGGCTCCCAGGTGGGCTTGGCTGCAGAGCAGTGATTGCTGGGAAGAGGGAGAAAGTTTCTGAGGTGAGAAAAACCTTCTCCATCTTAAGGACGTGGGTCACAAGGTTGTCTCTTTTTGTCAAACTCGCGGAGCACACAACATATTTCACCACATGTAAACCATACCTCTACCAAAATAAGTAATCTCATCTCCTTCCTATTCAAGCAAAAGCTTCAAAAGAAATGCTTAAATTTTTTTTCTATCAAATCTTGGTCAATGTTATTCCCCCAAACTCCAAAAGCAAAGTGGAGGATGAAATTACAGGCGATGAGGAGGGAAGACCGCGCTTCCTGAAGACTTCACGTAGGAAAAGGCACAACGGGACATTGTAGGTGCTGAGTGAAGAGGAGGCAGATTTGGATTTGGGGGGCCTCCGGGGTTGCTGTGGGTGTAAAGGGCAGAGATGCAGGAGGGGGCGGGGAAAGAGGGGAGGCTAAGCTAAGCATGCTCCCTGGAGGGCTGCAAAACAGATCTATCTAAAACAGGGTTAGGATGCCTTTCTCTACGGCCGCAACTCAAAACCAAGGGAGTAGCTCAGTGGTAGCATGCTTGCTTAGCTTGTGCAAGGTCCTGAGTCCTAGTCCTGGCCCTGAGACAACGAAAACTCCACAAAATCAAAGGCGTGACTATCGAGGAAAAAAATTGGAAATACAAATGAATAAAAAAATAAGAATGCAAATTCAAGTCAATGCGGTTTCAATTGTTACACTACATAACTATAAACTACATGTCTGTAAATGTAAGTACACAGAGATTTTCTTTAGGTCCAGTAAAGCCAGAGATGAGACGTGAGAATCTGGACCCGTCTGGGACTCTTATGAAGGCAGAGGCTCTTCTCCAGTTCCCAGGAGGGGCGTAATGAGGTCAGACTTGTGAGCGGGGTGACTCCAGGAATTTCCTTCGACTCCTGGGTTATGCCTTCCTGACTGCTGGTTGGCATGCAAAGGTCAGAGGAGCCCTCCTGCCTCCTGATAACCCTTCTAGACCAACACTGACAGAGTCCTGTGTCCGTCTGCATCACCTCCTGGGGTGGTGCGATGTACTACTGGCCTCCAGGGGTCTTGTCTACTAGCTGGCTTGCATTTCTCTTTCTCAAAGGTTCAGGAAGCTCCCAAACTTCTAGTGTTCTTGAGTTTGCTGAACACGAGTAAGTTCACCTGCTTACTCTTAGGATTTTATAGATAAACTCACTTCTCTGCCTTGGCAGCCTGGGATATTAATGCTGGTGCAGAGGTGGCTGCCCCTCAGTTCCTCTGGTCACCTCTTCTCACAATGCTATTGTAGAAAAGTGAGTACAACACTGACCACATGGGACCACGCAGACGCAGGGCTCTGGAGAAGAATGGGCACTGGAATGCTGTTACCTGCGTGGGTCATCAGAAAGCTAGACCATACTGACTGCTGTCTCACTGACCACCACCAGAACACACCTGGCCTGAAGAAGCACTCTGCAAACACCTGTGAGATGGCTCTTGGTCGCAGCCACACAGTGATAAACAAATGCACAAGCATACACACAGGCACGCACACACGCAAGAACAGCACAGAACAATCACCGTCCACAGCTCAGTATGTTTTCCGCCAAGCATCGTCAGCCCATGTCTCTCACCCAGTTCTTTCATCTCCATTATAATCACTGCGACACCCACGTGTGGTCCTGCGCTCATCACGGGCCACGGATACACCCTCCCCGCCACTTCCCCGCTCTGTGGCACTTCCCAGTTTAACACTGCCTCATGCACCTCCACCTCGGCTAATCCGACCTCTCCCCTGTGCTGCCACCCTCAGCCTGGCCTCCGGGACCCATGGCCGTAGCCTCTGAATCTCTCCCCAGGCCTCCCCCAGACACGCCTTCTGCTCTGGACATCCTGACCTCTCCAAGAGCACCTCATTTATTTCCAACATGAGTGTTCAGCATCTGTTCCTCTTTGTTTGCTTTCCTGCATCCTGCATAACACCTGCCCCAGATGCCACCGCCCATGCTTTCCACCCTCTCGGTGGGCTCTGGCCCTGAGCTGGACGCTAAGATGTGCAGAGTTTGGCAACATGAACCCCTGCACAGCGCTGAAGCTACTGAGGTCCTCCGGCTGTGGAGGCCGGCTGGTGTCGCCTACCTATACGTTGTTTTCCCCTGGTCATGTTTTCATTTTCTCTGGCATATGGACATTATTTTTACTATGATGACAATCTCAAGAACTTTATTTTTCAGCTGACGACAGTGACTCTGAAAAATGCCCCATGAGCTGGAGCTGCCCGTTCTGAAAAGTGGCATAGACAAACAGGTCTGTGCCCGGCCAGGCCTGGCTGGCTGAACATACACCGGGTGGAGGAAAGCCAGGCAGTGTCACACACTCACAGAGCAGAGCGTTTCACCCGCTCTCACAGAGGATCACGTGTGCTCATGTCATCACACATCCGATACAAGGCAGCTTTTCTTTGGATTAAGTGTACGGGAATGTCCTGTCCAGGAGACTCTATGAATAACAAACCTAGAAGAATACTTCCCTCCTCCCCAAATCTCTAAAGGCGACACAGTGACACAGCTGACACAAATCACATTTAGCAACACCAGAAGGAGCATGTTCTCAGGTGGTAACCACAGCAGGCTTCACTTTTTCCTGCTGGACCAGGATGTGGGGTGCTGACTGAGCCCCAGGCAGAGGCTCCACCCTTGCCAGATCCAAGACAGGTGGTTCAAAGGCAGGGAAACAAAGGCAGCTTCCCAGACAATGAACCGCCTGTCTTAGAAGGTGGCCTGGAGGGAGGTGGAAGTTCTACAGCGCCTCCTAGAGGCAGACGGAAGGGATCTGACCCGGATTGCATCAGAGGATGCTGAGACCCAGGAAAAGAGAGGCAGAGGGGAGGAGGGCTCTGAATTTCGGGGCTAGACATGTTTCTGGCCACAGTAACACTCAATCCTCCTGTACACCGACTGATTTCATAAAATGGGTTCAGCTGTGTAAAACAGGTCAAAAGACCGTTTTCAACTAGACCAAAAATCCACAGGCTGTTGCACAGAAATTCTAAATGGCATAAATATCTCAACATGGGATAATACTGTGCCGTCATTAGAATAAAACAAGTTTATAGAGTTGACACAAGATACTTTTACCACATATTATTAGGTGAGAAAAGAGAAAGACCTATGTGCATACTAAAAGGACAGAGAACATCAAAGTTAGCTAACTGTAGACACAGGAGAAAAGGAAAGAGAGTCATAAATAGCTTTAAAACTAACAGGTTTCACAAAAAAGAGTTATGTAAATTTCAAAAATATATGTATTTACCAAAATGTCAAAGATGTGTTATTACATCTCATTGTAACAATACTTACTGATTTTTACATTCTTCCTTACACTTACCTATATTTAAGCAGCAATTGTAATCATTATATAATCAAAAATAACTACTTTCATTGAGAAAAAATCTAAATTGCTAGCAATATGAAAATAATGCTTCTTAAGTCCTCTTGGCCAAAACACAGCACGTTAATAGAATTTTGCAACATTCATGACCAAAAGAGATTTTCACATTGGTCCTCAAAATGGAGAATGGCCAAAGTCCTAAATTAATAATTACCATAAATACTTAAAGAATCTTGAGGTTAATGCCTAAATCTAATCTTTAACCGGCTTTCCCAAAGGCTTAGCGCCCTCTGAGCGCTCAATGAATTCTATTAGCTGACAAGCATATTTCAAATCACATGAATGATTACAATCAAAGATGCCATTATTTGATATACAAATGCTATTAAGAGTACAATCTCATCTAAAAAAGAATAGGAGAGCCAGGCATAATGGCTAGTCTCTTAAATTGTAACCATTCCATAACATGAAAATTAATTTTGTACACCTAATATTTCAAGTAAAATGCTTACCTGGACTAACAAGTGGCCTGAATCAGGCAAACATGCACCACATTTCCTGAAGTTGTCGTTCATTTGTCTTATCAAATGTGTCAATATTTCCAGAGTACCTTTGCTGATTATCTCATTAAGAAATCTTGGATTTCCAGATATGAATTTGAGAGTCCCCACACAGTACAAAAAAGCTTCAGTGTTATCCTGCAAGACTTCACGTCTCAGAACTTCTAATAATGATTCTGCCAAAAAACACCATGAATTATTATAAATGTCTGAGTATAACAGCTGGAGAGAAATATGTTAAAGCACTTGCATATGCACATCAAAAATGATATATAAAATATGCTTGTACAGAGCTACATTCAAATGCTTAATAAGGGTTACTCAAACAAGCAAAGCCTACTTTTAGCTGTGACAAATCTCTGCTGCAGCTATGACAGCAAAAGGGTGGAGGTGATTAATACGTAAGAAAGAAAGTGTTCTCTTAACTAAACGCCATCCCCTGCCTCTGCCCACATTTACCAGCCTTCATGTTTAGTTACAAAAAGTACAAGTTATGATAGAGTAATAACACAGCAATTCAAGAGTTAAGTTTCGACAAACCTTTACGAATGTACCTCTACTGTTGCTGTTTTAGTGGAATGTAAGTCAAATTGGAAGTTTTAAAAAATGTCAATCACCCATAAAAGGGCCAATCTGAATACAATATCCAACTTTCTGCGAGATAATTTAAGAACATTCATCCAACTATTCGTTTTGTGAAAGTGAAAAGGGAAGAAACTGCTCCGAAGGAAAGAACAACCGGGATGGGGGCAAGGAGAAAAGAAAGGAGGGAAAAAATGTTGCAGATGTAAATGTGATAGATAATTATACTGCGCGTCTCTATTGGCTCATCAAAAAGAATGGTTTGTGCATTCAGTGTTTGATCAGCTTTTCATGCCTGTATTTTGTAACCTGAGCAACTATTTGGAAGATAACAATACGCAATATATTAACCATTGTTAATCTATTATTTTGTTTTGAAATTCTGTATCATCATTTTTTTTTCACTTTAAAATTAAAAAAAGAAAGTAAACCAGGCAACCCTAAAAGGCTAACAATATGAAACTCATATTCAAGTTTATCAATGGTAATGTGATCACTTGTCAGATTCTTTATTTTTGATCGACAATTCTCCATTTGCTGATTTAATGTCAGATATTTCGTTTAGCACTGATTTTGTTCCCATGTGCTCGGGTTAAAGGAAGGGGGGAGGGGCGGGTGTTGAGGTCATTTAGATCATTTACCGTACGTTACCGTAAGAGAACCGAGAGTGTTTTCCTATATAAGTGACACAAATGAATAAAACGCATCCGCTTAGGGAACTGAGCATCTGGGTGTGGTGGTGCACATCTATAATCCCAGCACTTAGGAGGCTGAGGCAGGAGAAGGGCTGCAAGTTTGGGTATAACCTCGGTTACACAGTGAATCCAAGACCAGCCCCAACTAATAGTGAGATCTTTATCTTAAAAACAAACCATATTTAGAAATGTGTCAAGAATTGGGCATCAATAGCTAGGCGATTTTTAACATAGTAAAACTTTTTTACCTTCATAATTGATACTTTGATGTCAGATTTCTGTAACAGTAGAGATGTCTTTCAATTATTAGTCACTTTTACTATATCAAAAGACCAACATTTTTAAGTTCCATCATAAACTATTAGATGTGGTTTTTTGCTATTAGTGAATTCATGACTAGGGAATTATTTTTTAAATAGTACATTGTAAAGTTACATTATATTATTCATATAATATTAAGAAAACCAAAACAAAGCTCCATCTGTCATGCGAGGCTTCAGATGATGCATAATGGCAAAACCCCGAGATGCATGTGACAAAATAAGTGCCACATACATGGGGTAACCGAGATGTACAGTGAATGTTTAAATTTTTAAACTTCACTACCCGCCACACACACTGCCATGAACGCCTCTCAGCCACTCCTTGCGTCAGACCCCAACGTCCTCGTCACTTTGCAAAGCAGCCTTGGACGTCCTCTCTCACAGCGTCGGTGCACAGTGTGATCAGAAATGCAGTGAACTCTGTGCTGCTGCCTACAACTGAAAAGTCGGTTTGTAAAAACCTGATGCTGGGGCTGGGGATTTGGCTCAGAGGGATAGGCGCCTGCCTGACAAGGTCAAGGTCATGAGTTCGATCCCCAGTACCAAAAAAAAAAAAAAAACCTGATGCTGTGTTCTCAGCCACCTTGTCCACCAGCTCGGGGCTCTGGCATTTCTCACAGTCACAGTGATGGTGAAAGCTAAACGTCCTGAAGGGGTTCAAGACATGGAGGCAGTTACAGCTCCGAGGGGGCATCTATGCTCCAGCCTGCTTCACCAGGTGTCAAGAATACCAGGGTCAGTTTGTGGAGTGGGGGAGAGCGTTTTGAGGGGGATTAATAGCAACCTGCTTCTTCTGTAATACATTTTAAAAATTTAAACATTCATCATGTTTCAATCACATCCCATAACTTCGACTTTTACTAGGAAATAAAATATCCCTGAATTAGGAATTACACATTTCCTCCCCAAACTTCTCATTTGTGCTCAAGTGTAATTAATGCTTGCTCAGTGGTGACACTGAACGACACTTACCCAGAATGTTTTCATTTTGAAGCAGACAATCATTCTTCTCGCTCCTGCTGATTTTAAATATAAGTTTGCAGACGTTAAGAAGATTCTTTCTACTCACTTTAAGCTGCAGAGAAAGAACACTTTCATTTCTAATTCGGAGGGAAATAAGCACATGCCGTATTTTTAAAATACAAGCATCTGTATTAAAAATGCAGTAAGAGTATTTGTAAACATAATTAGTTCTAGAGAAACCAGCTTGGAAAAGTTCAGGCCAGATATTTACATGACAGCTATTTCTAGTATACAATATAAATAATCTTCAGAGTAAGAACACTTTAATAATAAGTATTTAATTCTTACTTTGGAATATCTTTTATTTATATGGGAGTTATTAATTACTTTTACAGGAGTATGAGGAAAAAAGTTGGTAAGACAGTATTCCTACATTTAGTCAAATAGAGTAATCATGCCAAACACAAAGATAAGGATACAACTTCACAGTAAAATAATTTCAGAAAGAATCTATTGTGGAGGTGAAAGAAAATTTAAAAAATATGTTCTGTCACTCTGTGTAAAAGTATTACAAATTAATGCTGTCTGGTTAGATCATATACATACATTTATTTTAAGACTATTTCTGGAGTGCTTTGAGATGATCATTAATGCTTGAAATTGAAAATTACCTTCTAAACCATACAAAAACAGCTAAGTAAATTAAATGGGGTAATAAGAAAGTATACTTTCTCTTTAAGAAAGACATAGTATTGGATGACTGGCTGACTCAAATGGTCAAGTGTAGCTGTGTATTTACCACTTTATCAAAAGTAGTAAAAACAAATCCTGGCAGTCTAATATTAGAAATAGGTTGATAAACTGTGGAACAGTAGGACTATTCATATGAAGCTATCACAAAGATTGTAACTGAACACTATGTCAAGAAAGAAAATATCTGCAGCTTCCAGTTAGATGAGAAAATCCAGTGCCATTGTCACAGTGTAAAAATAGGTTTACTAGACTGAGTCATCAGGACAAATAAGCATTTCTGCGTGAAAGGGTAACATATGGGTCACTGTTTTAGTGCTAAAACCATCTTTAATGTTGCTGATTAGTGAGTTGAAGTTTTGGTAAAAGATGACAGAATTTGTTAGACATATTTGTTAAAGGTTTGTTCTGAATCTGAACCACAAATGCTTTCGGGGTGTTGCTGTGCCAGGCTCCGGGGGGGTCAGCCCCAGGCTGGAGGGCAGGGGGACAGTGTGGCCCAGGAGCCCTGAGTCCAGCCCTGGACCTGCATGTGTGAGGAGTGCAGAGGCCCAGGAAGCCGTGCTCAGTGTGTACACCTTAATAAGCTCTTCAAGAGAGGCGTCCACCGGAACACAAAAGTCAGGGCCACCATTTTTCTCTGAAGCCTCAGAAACTAACAGGGGAGGAGGATTTTTCTGCCCCAGGCATGAAAAGTTTGGGGGGGGTGGGACCCTGCTTGCCTGGCCTTCTTAAACCCCTGGGTTCAATCTCCAGCTCCTCGAGAGGGGCTGTTGGGTAAATGTCAATCCTGATCAAAAGTCCCCAAAACAAGATGAGTTAAAGGGGAGGGGAAATGATGCTGTGGTGCACCCCCGAAATCCCGATGCTCTGGGCTGGGGAGGACCCAGGCCAGCCTGGGAATTCAGTGATTTAGGGAGACTTTGTCTAAAAGAAAAAAAGCTGGGGTTTAGCTCATTGCAGGCCCAGGTCCCATCCCAAGGATGGAAGGATGGCAGGCGGGGGTAGGGGGGGCCGCATATTTTATAGGAATACAGTGTATCCTTTTCTTAAGACTTGGGAATGTATTTGAGTCAGCTGACTCTCCCACCAGACTGCAGGTCCCTGGGGTCTCTCTTCCTATGGCTGGTACGTGGTATGTGCCATGTGTCCTGCATTTACAAAACTTATTGACTACAATTTATGTCCCCCAGCAGGTCTCACATTTAGTAAAAAACAGCAAAGAAAAACTGTTAAAGGTCTCACCAAGATAATGACAATAATGAGACACACACACACACACACACACACACAGAGAGAGAGAGAGAGAGAGAGAGAGAGAGAGAGAAAATACAGACCTCGCACAACTTCCAGAGCCACTATAATGTAAGTCAGTTGACATTCAAAGCAAATTCCTTTAACTTCTCCATTGATAACTACAAAATTACAACTTTAAACCATGAAAAGAGCTGGGCATGGTGGTGCACACCTGTAATCCCAGCATTTGGGATGCCAACTCTGGAGGATCACTGCGAGTTTGAGGGCAGCCTGGGCTACATAGTGAGTTCAAGGCCAGCCTAACTACACAGCTAAACTCTGTCTTAAAAAAAAAAAAAAAAAAAAAAAAGCAAAGATAACAAATGCAATATTACACACAAGCATTGAAGACGACTTCATGAAAATCAGCGCTCTCCCCACGCCCTCCATTAGAGCTGCCACACTTTCCTTTCTTCCCACAGAGCTCCAAGTGCCCTTGGGGTGCTGGCTCCCCTATGCCACTCCCAGTCCTGGAGGACAGGGGTCTTTGATTCACTTGTATTCCCAGGGTTAAAGAACGACTCCTGACAGAGTCAGTTTTCATGATTGGGAAGTTTTTTCTTCCTACACTGAAAACAGCATTTTATTCTATGCAATGCAAATTTGGCAAATTAAAGAAAAGTAAGCTCAGCACTCTGGGAGGCTGAGTCGGTATGACTGCAGGTTCGAGCCCAGCCTGAGCTGTTTTAGTGACTTTGAGAGACCCTGTCTCAAAGTTATTTATAAACAAATAAGACAAATTGTAAGAAGGGCTAGCTCAGTGAGAAAGCCTGGGTTCAATTCCCAGTAGTAACACATGGGGTGCTAGATCTCCCCTGCCCTGGCCCAGAATATAGTTGCATTCCCATGTGCGTATGTTTAAACTCTTTAAAACAATCTTAGTAAGGATTGACATAATTTGCAAGATTGTTTAATAAAAATATTAAAACTAAAATCACTTAACCAAAGAATACAAGAAATCAGAACAACTAACATTATGCTCTGTGAATGTGTTTAACTAGAAATAATTTAAATGCCTGAATTACACTTATTAAACTGGTAAATCCAGAAGGGAAAAGCTTCTTTGTTCTGCATCTTTAGTCTCTGCTGAGTCTTCATCAGTTTTTCTGACACAGCTTTGCAAACCCTGCACACAGAATCCCTCCCCGAGGCCTGCACAGGCGCCTGCCTGCAGTGGTGGAGTAGCGCCAGGCAGTTGGTAGAAAATTGGAGCTGTTGGCCCCTTCTGACCTCACGGTTCTCGCGTTAAGCAGAGGGCACAAGCTGCCTTGCCCTGTGCTCTGGGTTTAACCTACAGTCTCACTTTCATCCAGTGAGGCGCTCCATGTCACCTAGAGGGCTTTGTCTTATCACACATCCCGTTCAGAACTTGTTCACTGCCTGGAAGACCACCTAGTTTCTCTTTGCCCTAAATTCATTAAATTGTACCATGTATGAAATTGAGTTACATTATGAAGAGCCAAGCTCAGATTTTCTCTGCAAAGCATGATGGGATGTGTACTTGCTCATTTCTTTTTCTTGGCTTGAGGTAGATGTGTGTGGAATCCAGATGAAAGAGAGAATGTGATCCTTGGGTCCAGTAGCCCGGGTCCTGTCCAGGGCAGCTACATCAGCAGAGCACCAGGGCTAAATCACTAACCCAAGAACATGTGACAACTTCTCAAAGAAGAGTGACCACCTCAGGGTGACAGCTAAGTAAGACTAGCTTCCCCTCGGAATGACGTAGGACACGCGGTCGTAATATTCTGCTTTATGAAAGACTTCATTATCTACGACTCAGTAGACCTTCTTGGTCAATACGCCAGCACTCACCTTCACTGTATACTTTGCCATTTTATGCGATGAGAATTATGGGGCGTTAACATAAAGCTCTTACTCTTACGAAACCAAGAAACAAAGCTTCATTCATTGGTCTTTGCGGCTCTCTTACAACATGCTATAATAATTGTAGCTTATCTTTTGCTGTCAACTGTTTATGGCTGTAACAACAAAGCGCTCTCCTCAAACAATGGCATCATTTTGCTCTAGATAGAGTTTCTAAGATGATTTGGTGTTCAACCTTTTCTTCTACACTCTACAAGAGGGACTTCTGTGACCACTGAGAGACTTTCTGTGGCCACACGCCACCATTTTCCTCTTGTAGACTGGTTTCTAAAGCACCTGGTCATCATGTCTGTACCCCAAATTAAAACTCTTTTCTAAATCATAAGACAGAATCAAGTACCCAGGAGAAACCAGGGGACAGAGACGCTGGCCTACACTGACCAACAATGACCTGGTTATGTCGTTTGTTTTGAATGTATTTGTCATTTGTCCCTTATTTCTTCCCTGTTTTGATTTTTCTTTTCTTTACAATCTAGTCGAAATGTAAGAGTGTACCTGACCAGTTTCCGTGTACTCAGCCTTAGTGCCTTAGACCACACTTCTCAGTCAAACCCTTGGATGCCGGTTTATTTATCTGTGTCTTTTCAAGATTCTAAACACATGCACTGTATTTCTAATGTTTCTGGTAATGTTTACAAGTCAAGCATTTAACAAAGCTTGTATGTGCTACAATCTACTAGGCCAGAGGAAAGAAAAACTTACTGCTAGGATAATTTTTGCGAGTTTAAGGCTGAGCAAGTCTGAGCCAACATCGACGAGTTTATAGAGCGTCTTCAGGAGAACACTTCTTCTCTTAAATTTATTCCCAAGCATATTTCCTTCCTCTAAGGCATGATAAAGTTCTGTGCAAGTGGCACAAACTGTTTCAATGTTCTCTTCTGTTAGAACAAAGAGAGTACAGCAACATTTACTAATTCAGTTTTCAAGTGTGTCAAATATGCACGGTGTCTATAATAACCTTATAGTTATTTCCATAGACATTTTCGGTTTCCTGAATTCTATTTTACCTTGGTTTTTGTTGTTGTTGTTATTGTTACTATTTTTGCCCGCCCACACACACGCACACGGTCCCGCTATGTAGGTCAGGCTACCCTTGAACTCCCTAGACAGCCTGGGCTGGCTTTCCGCTCACAGCGATCCTCCTGCTCAGCCTTGAGTACTGGGATTCCAGGCGTGCACCGCCATGCCTGGCTTCACCTTCTAAAGTCTCTTCCACCTGCTTGATTTTTTTCCCATCTCTCGATTCATCTCCTATCATGTTGACTTATTTATAATCAGTCAATCAGCTTATCGAAAACGCACAGTGTTCGAGTGAGTGCATTAAAGGATGGAGGACAGCACGGCTCCTGCTTCGGCTGGGCTCCTTTAATCCAAACACCCTCCCACGGGACCTGTGCTCTGTTTGGTCTCACGGAAGCACACTGTTTGCATTTGTGCCTTCAGCCTTCTTGGCATAGTTGCACAGGCCTAGAAAATCCTCACCCTTTCCCTCCTGATTTCGGTTCTTCAAGTCTATGTTTCGGTATCTGCAGAAAACTGCGCTATTTCACACTCAATGAACGTGACCTTGTACCACTGCTTATGTGTCACATTGATACGCGTGTGCTGTGTCATGTACCCAGCGCCTCAAACAGATGACATGCTAAGTGAGCAGGAACCCTGTCTTATATGCTGTCGTGGTCTCAACAGCACACAATGCGTATGTATCCATTTTTTTTCTTTTTCTTTTTTTTTTCTGGTACCAGGGATTGAACTCATGGCTGTGCTCTTGCAAGGCAGGTGCTTATGACGCTGAGCTAAATCCCCAGCCCCTGTATCCATTTTCTAATGTATCTATTGATGAAAACAATATCAAGTCTTTTCCTGTGAAAACAGTGTCATCTGATAAAAGAAGGCATGCGTGGGACAAAAGTGCAAATGTCACCAAGTCCTCTATTATTAGAAAAAGAGGAAAATGCAAAGGAGATTTTAGTTAGGAAACAGACATAGCACCTTTTACTTTATACCTAGGATTCTGAGGAAAGTCATTTTGGAAAGTGGTGGCCACAAAGAGACATACAAGGCGCAGCCTGCAAAGGAGATCTGAGGGAAAATCCGAGAAGCCAAGATATAAGCTATCGCAATAAAAATGTTATCTCTGATAGATTCCATCACAAAACGTCAAAGTAGGAAACCAACCTTAAATGAATACCATAATGTGCTCTTAGAAGCCCGCATAGAGGAAGTGTGCGCCTTCAAAAGGAAATGACTCAGGCCATTTTTAGCTCTTTTCAACAATAACATCTAAGAAAACATTTTAAACCTCAATAGCTAAGTAACCTTCTGTGCCTTCTGGTTATGCACGTAAATAAATGAACTGATGGGAAATGACTTAGACCAACTTTAAATAAAGGGAAAATCTGAATTCTATTGTGTAAAACACTCTTGTTGTGTTGTTTTATTCTTTTGTGACTGGTGGTTTCTTCAAAAGCCCCCAGTCCAGGCCGGGGCCACTCCTGGCCCGCCCGTGGCGGCCAAGCGGTGTTTTTCTAACATTTCCTCCCTTACGAACCTTCAGGCTTGCTGGGTTTGACTCAAGAGTAGTGGTGTTAGCTTAAAAAGAAATTAAAAAGCCAGAATCACAGATCAAATCTTCCAAAATTAATATCTTAAAATTGAATAAATAAGCCTTTTATACCAATGAGTTATAATTGGTATGCACAGTGACTTTCCCCCACAAGACGTTTAGTTAAAAAGAAAAAATGACAGCTTTACAGAAGGCAACCCTAGCAGACATCACCTGGCCCAAGTACCAAAAGTTCCCATCTCAGCAAAGGAACGGGGCTTTCTTTTTCTACAAAGAAAATTACTGGGACAATTGGCAACATCTAAGTGTATTTCTATCGATGTAAGAACTGCCCTTGTTTCTAAAAGCGCATCAAAGTACTTCAGAATGAGGGGCATTGATAATGTGTTCTCAAGAGGTTCTAAGAAGGTGAAAATGTGTGTGTGTGTGTGAGAGAGAGAGAGAGAAAGAGCGAGAAGGTGTGCTTGTAGAGAAAGAGAAGGAGAGAACCAACTATGATAAAACATTAATGTCAGAGGAATCTGGAGAAAAGTGCATAGGATTTTTTTAAACACTGCTCTTACAACTTTTCTATAAATCTGAAATTATGTGGAAAGAAGTTAAAAAGTATCCAAAGTGGTCAAGTAATCCAGCCTCACCATCACCGGCTGTTCTTAAAGCTGTCCAGGAAGAACCAGGCTGCACTGCGCTTACAATGGTCCTTCTAAGAAGCAGACGCGGCCACACTGAACCCCAGACTCCTTGGCTCCCATGCTGTCCTCGTTTCCCTCTGTCCGAGTCTGTGGTGGGCAGGGCACTCGGCATCCCCTGAAATTCTTCTGGCTGAGAACCTCCTCTAAGACAGACCACGCTCTCCGCTGAAGGATTTTCTTGTTTTACCCCTTCCCTAGTCTCATTGGTTTTCTCACTAGTTTGTGTACATGTCTCCGGAAAACGGGGAGCAGGAAAATTAGTAACTCGGGAGGGAAACGTCATCACGTCCACTGTCTCAGGCCACGGGGCTGCAGGAGACTTTGAGGTGATCTGGTCTCATGTACTCCTTGCCTACAGACAGACGCTACCGAGCACAGAGTGCAGAGGATTCCCATAGCACACAGCTAGCCACCAGCAGCACCAAGACCAGATGCTCTGTCCAGGGCGCCCATGCTAGCCAGGCGCACAGCCTGGCGTCCACAGGGAGCCGAGGAGGGGAGTGCTGGAACGGGGTGGGTTGGGGGTGTCATGCATGCCCCTCTATTCTGAAGGCCTCACTTGCCCTGCTTCTCCTGGAATAGCCACGGGAACGTGGCTGCCACAGGACTTGTGCATGACAGGAGCATTCATCCAACAATTGCTACCCAGGGACAGAAAGTGGGAGACATCTGGCTTCCCGTAGCCTTGAAGGGACCCATGAAGCATCGTGGAACTTCAGTCTGCAATGTCAGGCCTGGACACAGGTCACTTCCTGTGCCGTGGGTGGGGCCCCTGACCCATGTGCTCACCCTGGGAGAACAGGACAGCTACACAGCTGGATCAAGAAAACACGGGCACGGTTATGCAGGGGCCCGTCCAGGAGACTCGTCCTGTTTCAGAGACCTGAAATCTTTAATCCTACGTGAACAGCCCCCAAGGGAGGTTGAATAAAAGTTTCCTTAAGTAGAGAATGTGATCATTAATTTCTATTATTGAAGAATTTTAGAAGTCGGCTTTTTGGTGCATTTAAGGTATAATTTTACTCACTAAAATTTTAGTTTACATGTAATGTTTAATACAAACATTATCAAGTAAATAAAAGATTACCTCATTTATTTTGGAACATGTTCACAGAAGTGATACTCAAAGTGTGCTTAAAATATCAGGGCAATAGGGAATATATAAATAACCATAGATATTTTTGATTTAAAACAAGAACTGTTTTTTTTACCTTTTTCTAATTCATGCAAAACTGGTGCAATCCTTGTGTTCCAAAAGACTTCGTCTGCTCCCATTTCTGTGTCCTTTTCTTGCAAGTCGGCTTTTGAGACTGCAAAATAAATCCACAGCAGGAGAAAAAGTCATGGAAAGAGAACTGTAATACAGCACAGTCAAAAGCATTTCCTGTTCATCACTAAAATTAATAAACTACAGAATCAAATTTCTTTTGGTACCCAACCCAATTAACTCTAGTTAGAACTACCAGTCTGCCAATCAAATTACCCCAAATTAAACTCATGTAAGATGACATAAAAATCAGAATGTTAAAACATGACTGTGATAATTCATAGTGTTAATCTTTATGAGTGTTGATGACCATCAGTAAAGTAAACTCCTCAATCTTTCTCCTTTTGTTAGGGGCAGGCAGGGTCTCATTACATAGATCAGGCTCACTAAGTGGCCAGGCTGGCCTTGAACTCAAAATCCTCCTGCCCTCAGCCTCCTTAATAACAGACAAGTTATTGTTTTTTCTTAAATGCAACCCTCTGCAGTGTACACAAATGAGACTAACAAGTGAAGAAATGTTCAACATCTATGGTCATTAGAGAAATGCAAATTAAAACTAAACAGAGATTCCATCTTACTCCAGAAAGAACAGCAGTCATCGAGAAATCAAATAACAACAAATGCTACGGAGGCTGTGGAGGAAAAATGAACCTTCTGAATTCTCGGTGGGAATGTAAACTAGTACAAGCACTATAGAAATCCCTATGGAGGGGCCTCAGAAAACTAAAAACAGAAATCCCATTTGATCCAGCTATTCCCCTGCTAGAGATCTTTCTGAAGGAGTTAAATACATCATACTACAGTGATACATGCTTACCATGTTTATAACAGCAGAATTCATAATCAATCTTAGAAGAAGCTTTTATGTCTATCAACAGACACACATGAATAGGTAAAGAGAATGCGGTATTTACACACGGTGGAGTACTATTCTTCCATAAAGGAGGGTAAATTTGAGACATATATAGGAAAATAGATGCACCTCTAGACCATACTGTTAAGTGAGATAAACCAGACGTATATAAGCTTAAATATCACACAGTTTCTCTTGTATGAGAAACCCAAAGTATAAGAAATATTTCTTGTACATGAGGAGACCACCAAGAAAGGGAAGAAAGGCCCGGAAAGGAGGGGAAGGGAAAGTTAACAGGAGGAAGGTGTGGTACGTGCATGCACCAGCTCCCAAGATGAACGCAACCACTATTTACTGCAAATGTGAGCTAATAAAGTAAAAAAAGTCTGGGTTTTAGAAAGGAAATGTGATGTGCACACTGCATGTTGCATATTCCAAATAGGACCTTCTAGCACTGCACACTGTAGCAGAATCTATGAACACTCACCTAACCAAGACTCCTGCTGGCTTCCCACTAGCTCAGATCTAGTACTGCCACTAAATGAGTCTGAAGAGCGTTTTAACTTTCAGCGTTTGGAGGGCTTCAGAACTCAGACAAAGGAGTGTAGACTATCGTCTCAATCTTCTGAATTGTTTTTATGTCTGTCTTAACTTTGACAAATTATACCTATGAATTTTAGAAGTAAGTGTGCATATTCGAGCAATATAAAAATAGATGCTCACATTTTAAGGTAAAATTACTGACAGTCCAATCTGTCTCAATAAAATCAACATTAATCAAGGCAAGTGAAAAGCCAGAAGGTCAGTAACTATCAACTTAACCAATACACGCTTCTGATGACTTAGGTCTATTAGAAACACAGTGGGTCCAGATCACCATTTTTGCCTTCTGGGCCATATGGGAATACAGTAGAGATTGAGAAGCCATGATTAGCAACTTTTTCTCATGACAAACACAATCAGTAACATGTTAATCCCAGAACAGCTGAGTTATGGGAGTTGGAAGTTACAGAAGTTTATTTAATCCTCCCAGAACCTTCAGCCTGTTTTGCAGATTTCTTTTGTCTCAGAGCAGACGCTGGAGTCTAAGAGGCTTCCTTCCCCGTCTCCCTCTCAGGAATGCCTGTGTGGCGTGGTGTCTGGCTATGGGCTGTTCACCTCCTCACCTCTAATATCTCCTCCAGCTCCACTCTACACATATCTGTGAGTTATGCTTGACACTGAAGCATGGAGTCATGTGCTTTTCAACACACACACAAACACACACACACACACACACACACACACACACACGCACACGCACACGCACGCGCACGCGTGCATGCACGCAAGCACACAACAATAAAGTCTGGCTCTGTCTTATGGAACAACCTAATACGTTAGAGAACACTTTCATCTAGGTTTGCAGTTTGCTAAATATAACAAGTATGATTCAACAGGAAGTTGGGTAAGTTAAGCAAAAAGTTCAGCATGTTTTTGAAGATTTTGCTGTCTCAGTGGTTATAGTTGTTAACCACAGCGCTGAGTTCTGAACACAAAAACCTGACGCGATGTTAGGATTGGCTGATGTTTTTAGCATGTAAATGTTAAGATCCTTAGCAACAACATTGTCTTGAAAATCAGAATATGTAAGATTTTCCTAAGCGCTCGAGAAACTCCCAATGTCTAAAAAGGCATGAATTGATAAGAAACTTACTTTTGAAGGTAATTGTTTTTTTCCTTTTTATTAATGCACACTGACATTACCCAATGTTTACTTACCTTGTGGGAGCTGTCACATGTACCTAGCACATCCTAATTCCTTTTTTTAATCCTCTTTCCCTCCCTTCTCTTCCCCGTTCCATCTCTTGATTCCCTTCCCATTTAAGAAAGACCTTTCTCCCTACTTCCTATTAGTTAGGCTTTTATTTTGCTTTTTATTTGTCATTTTAGTTTCTCATGTAAGAGAAACCATGCAATATCTAAGTTTGTGTGCCTGATTTATTTTACTCAAGATCATGGCCTCCGGGTGCATGACACTCCACTGAGTGTAAATACCACATTTTCTTTTATTTTTTCATCAGCTGATGGACATAAAAACTTCTTCCAAGATTTAACTACTGTGAATTCTGCTGCAATAAACACGAATATGGCTATGTCACTGATAGTTCTTAATCAAATATTAGTTCAGTGTCATAAAAGTTCATGTGTACAAGAATATGAAGAACACAACACACACCTGCATGCTCACAACTAGTTTGGTCAGGTATTGACACAGTGCCATACTTTTATTCTTCTCCTTAAAGAAATATAACATTGCAGGCATACTTATGGCTCTCTGCATATCTCCCTCTATCCATTCTCTTCCCCTCTCCCTTCTGGGGGTCACCAGCTTTCCAAATTGGGTGCCAACTATTAATAATGATGGCTTTTTATGCTTAACACATAGATCTGTAACCCATAATTTATGCCATTGTTTTTACAATTTAGTTTTACATCTAAAATTATGTTTATATTCATTTCATTCAATATTTTTTTTTTTTGGTCTTTTTCGTTTTTATTGGTACCAGGGATCGAACTCACGACTACCTGCTTGCAAGGCAGGTGCTTATGCCGCTGAGCTAAATCCCCAGCCCCCATTTCATTCAATATTATAAATGCATATTTGTTTACTTTTCTTATTGCTATAGTCTATTTCCTGGACTATGGGAAAATATTTTGTGTTATTTCTAGCCCATAATTTATATCACTTAATTTTCTCAATTAAATAGTTTAAAGGCTGAAAGAGCTGTCTAACATGGTCAAAAGTTTTACTTAAGTAAGCAGTGATTCTGAGCTCAAGTTTGGAACCCAAGAATTATGCTGATATCAAAATTTTTGCAGCTTTTCAAATGCTTTCACTGAGTAGTTTCTGTAAAATCATAAAGACTGTAATCTATCAGTGTTTGAGGCACTAGAGCTGGATAAGGGTAAGACACTTGTAAAGATAATAAAAACTTAGAAAATTAAACACTGCTTTCTGACCAAGTTGGACACAGTCCTGGAGCTTCCTTCCATACAGTGTGCAAACTTTCCAATAGAATGCTGTGAATGCAAGTGTGTCGAGGACCGACCACTCAGAGCGTGAGTTTCTCACCTGCTTTGGTGTTCAGCCTGCTCAGGTCTGAGCTGCTGGGGCAGGAGGAGGCACTGGCACGCCTCTTCCCGTGGTCCCTAGGAGGAAGAGGAAGACACAAAACAGTGCGTACAAGGTACTTCCACTGAGGTAGGTGAGAAGCTGGTTCTATGCTGTGTCTGAAGAAACCACAAAGAATTGTTTGTAAAGTGGGGTTTAGTGCTCTGTTTCCTGTTCTAATTAGCAGTTGATTTCCAACTATGATTTACCCTTAGAAACCAACTCATACGGGCGTAATAACACGAAGCACAGCTATTCGAAAGCACTGAAACATGAATCCAAAGTTTACTTTGCAAATCAAAAAAACTGGTTAAGGATATGGACCACAAGAGGGCACTATTACAATAAGAAATAACTGGTGGCTGGGCTCTCAAAACCCCGCCATTAGGAGCTGGGAGAGACCCTGCACCCTCTTTATGGATAAGGAAACTGTCCCGATCCAGCCAAATGTGCCCAAGGTCACCTAGCACGGCCACTTCTGTAAGGTGGGTTTTTTCCCCCAAATTATGGATCTTTTCATTACATCACTATACGTCCTGTTTCCATTTGAAAATTTAATATCCTTTCAAAATATTTTCTTAGAAATATTTAACAGTTAAAAACCTGAAGTCCCCAGATAACAAGTATGTTGTGTTCCAAATAAAAGAGGGGTGACAGCTGGATCTTATGCTCAGGTGTGGAAAGTCAGACTTCATGTAGAGACCATCTCTGAAAGACATAGCTTCTCTTTCAACCAGAGCCGATATTTAAAACCGCTTGCTTTTACATATGTGCATAACATTCCAGGGCAAAAAGCAGTATGGAATATGAGCGACTTTTATGGCGGATTCTCTCTGCTGGTCATCTTCTAATATCTGCTGCAAAAAATGCACTAGATGCGCCCGCGGACACTGGGGTGTGTCTGCTGCTCCTGCTTCCTGCATAGCAGGGTCCCCGGTGAATGTTCAGCTTGGCCCTTGGCCCTTCCAACTGCCCTGAAGATTAGCCCCTCCAAATACCCTCTTTTTCCATAAACATGTCCTTTAAAAATGCTTAATACTTCCTTTTATCAGAAAATGGGGGAAAAATCAAGCTAATTGTTCCCCAAACGTGTCTAATTAATTCTCTGAAACAACTGCCCTGTTTTTGTACATTAAAATAATACGATACAATAAGAACCTTAGGTCTGCTTGAAAAAAAAGTTACTAGACGACCAAAGAAGCTGAGAAGGGGTCCACATAAAAGAGGCAGAAATAAAGAAACTCAACCCCACGAAGAGGTAAAATGCCAAAACTTTGAGCAGGCAGGGCGCAGATTAAGGATGTTCCCATATTTACCACTTCTACAAAGAACAAGGGCGTCTAAGGACAGAATCCCGTACTTCCTGTGCATAAGATCTGCCCTAAACAACTACTGAAATAAAATGAGCCATTGGCTCTGGTCTGCTCTCCCGGGGTCGTGGTCCGCGCTGAGGTTGCCCTGTGAATGCCCCGTGTGTCTCCCACTCGTGGCTCAGCACCATCTGCAAACACTGGGCAGCGCTGTGTCCTCCTGGCTCTCAGAAGGGTACAGGACCGGGATGACGTACCGCAGTCCACAGGAGTGTGTTGGTTGTGGAGCCAACTGGCTGCCCTCGAATCCGAGGGTCAGCTTTAACCAGCTTTGTGACCTCGGGAAGGCTGCTGGGCTCGGCTTTTCTCATCTTAAAACAAGGGCATTGCAAGATAGGTGTAGAGGTTTCTGCTGGAAACAATTGAGAACAGCAGCCTGAAACTCTGGGTTAAATAACAAACCTAAATTTATGGCCAGTAAGAACCTCCATAGATTCTTAGAAAAGGAAGTGATGGGATTTGGAGGTATGCAATGCAAGAGTATTACAGAGTGGCACACACCTGTAGCACTCAGGAGGCTGGGCAGGTGGATTGCCAAAAATTTGAGGTCAGCCTGGGCTACAGAGTTCAAAACTAGCCTCACTTACATGGTGAGACCTTGTCTCAAAATCAATAAAATAAAATAAAGTAAAATATGTAGAGAGAGGTAACAAGGACAAATATTTTGAGGGTGAGCCCTCAAAAGTGTTGAGAGGATGTGGCGGTTGATTTCAGGCATCTGAAGGACGGAATGCAGCTGGGCACAGTGGGGCCTTCCTGTGATCCCAGCTCTCTGGGGGGCTGAGGGTCACACGTTGAGGCTCAGCCTGGGCAACTTAGTGACTTTATGAGAACGTGTCTCAAAATGAAAAATAAGTAAAGGGATGGGGCTGTAGCTCCGTGTGAAGCCCTGGGTTCAATTCCCTATACTAAGAAAACAAAACCAAAACCAGCCACAGACCAGAACAGACCCACTATGTGGTTAGGGAGTAGACCTGCTGGACAGCTCAGGGAGCCCGAGTCCTGCCTTGCTGGGTGGATCTCTGGTGACAAATGTAGCATCTGAAAAGGAGACGTGGAAACCAGGAAAGGACTCTGCTGAAGATCGGAGTGGCGCAGGGAACAGAGTCATCAGAAGAGCACCGAGTCCCACCCTGGGGCCAGGCCGCGTGGGTAAAGGACAGCAGGGGACAAAGGAGCCCAAAAAAGGGGGAGAAAGCAGACATGGCCCCAGGCAGCCCAGGCGCGTTGGAAAGAGAATGGAGTCCCAGGGAACAGCAGCTGTGGGTGGGGCCGAAGGGGTTTCTGTGGAGCCACCAAGTGGGCAGAAGAGTGACCAGGAGCGAGGGGCAGCAGGAGAACAGACGGGCTTCTAGATGCCGCAGAAATCCGTTTCCCTGGTACGGCTGCCCGCTGGACTTGGTACTACTAACGGGGGCCACAGGAAACAAAATACCGCTTTTCTCCTGACAGCGCTTCACGCCTTTAAAGCTGCTGCCCTCATCACTTAAAGGCACATCCTGTGCTTTTCATCCCATGGTTCTACCCCTTACGGCCGTGTGACAGTGGCACAGCTTTGGGGCGAAGCTCTGATGTCCTCATCTGTGTGTGCAGGGGGTGCATGGTGGTCCCCAGGATAAGACTGCTGCAAGGACAGAGTGACACAGTGCGTGGTGCAGCCCCAGGCACGTGGTAAACACTCGGTAAACCTCTACTATCTTCACCGTTATCACTGGGGCTATCGGCTAAGTCCTCTGGGCCCTCAGCAATTCTCCACCGGGGAGTTTCAAACTCTGTCTGCTCAGTCGGTTACTCTGAGTGTCAGCCTGTCTGGATCCCTTTAAAGTCCGGTGCTGGCACTGAGCTCCTGGTAGGACATGAGGAGAAAGATATTTGAAGTGATATAGCCTAAAACCAGGCTGGCAGTTGTGGTGGTCACATCGTGATACTGGTCAGTTCTTACCGGGTCTCACGGCCACAGCTAAGGCAAATGTCCTGACTGTGTCCGATCTTCACCCATTCTTACTAGGTTCCTCTGTGCTGTTCTCACCCATGGATCCCTGCCCATCAGATGTCTTTATATCTGGATTCAGTCATCTAGCGTAATTGTTCTTCCCAGCTTCCTGTTCCATGTTATTAAAGACCATCATTAAATTTTTTACAATCATTTTTTTTGATGTACCCGAAATAAAACAATTCCGGAAATTAGCCCTTAAAGCTCTTCTGTAATATCCTTCTTAGAGGCACAATAACATTCCATTAGGGTATCTAAATCTACAGATACGAAAACCTAATTCTAACCAATTTAAGCAGTAAGTGGGATTCCGTGTCTCGTGCACTCCCACAGTGGACAGTCCAGGAGTCTCAGTCCAGTGCGGTCAGGGCTCCAGCGTCATGCTTTGGCAGTTTCTGTAGCTCCAGCCTTCCCTTATTTCTGCTGTAATAAGGTTGGAGTTCTGATGGAAGCCGAACACACCATCAGTGTTTGTGAGGGCTCCTCTGCAGCCCTTGTGTTCAGGCCTTAAGCAAGGTCTTCTCTTCCCGGTCACTGACCAGCGGCCCGTACTGCATTGTGAACAGCCAGCACCAAGCGCGGAGGCCAAGGCAGTGCTCTACACCGCGGATGGAGTCCCTGCTGCCCGTGCCTCAGCTGATCGTGGCCAGTTTCTATCCCTGGACCATATGCACCCCACGGAAGTGAGAGTATAGATTCTTAAAAGTAGTCTAGAGTGCATATTTTGCTATAGTTCAGTGAGTTCTCCCCATTACTATCCATGATTTTTTATTCAGGGTCAGCAAACTTTCCTTCAGGGCTAGAGAGTATATACTGTACGCTTTGGGAGACAATTGGCAAAGCCAAGACGATAATGTACGCCCTTTTTTTGCAGCTACTTAAAATTGTAATGATTTGAAAATGTTTAAATCATAATTAGCTTTGGAACTATTTTAAAAAAGGATAGATTAACCAGGTTTGGCTTTTGGACTATAGTTTACTGACTCTTTACTTTAAAGCCATAACTACAGACGGAAAAATAAAGGGAAAAAAATGAGGAAGAAGAGGAGGAGGAGGAAGATACTAATTTGAAATTAAGGGGGAAAATTTAAAAATTTATCTCTACTTTGGAAAAAAATTACATGTACAGAAATAGAAAACAATGCTTATGATAAAAGAAAATTCAGCAATTCTTGCACTAAAACAATATAGTTCGTTTTTAGGATTATATTCAGGGTATAGGGGACTGAAGTCAGATAGAAAATATTTAAACTTTTCAACCACAGAGTCTCTGCCACAGATTCCCAGCTCTGCTGCTAGAATACGAACACAGCCACAGGTGGCGGGAGTCCCTGAGCGTGGTTGTGATCCAGGAAGGCCGCACTCCAGCAGCCAGCGCTAACTGGGCCTTAGTTTGCTGACCCTTGCTTTCCGGTTGCTTGGTATTGTGACTGCAGTCTGGGAATGTCACCATGGGGCGGGGACTCCTCTCATCATCTCTTCATGGCCTGAAGCACCAGATGTGGTTCCCAGACAGATGAGCACCTTCCTTAACAACTAGCCTTCAACACAGAATTCTGCACAAACACAATGAGATGAACGAACCTGCTTTTACACAGAGGATCGCAAGATCCTGAAAGGCCAGCCATCGTGGTGTGTCCCTCGCCTCCCCCAGGCGTGCTGCTCAGCCCTTTGG